AACATTGAGAGAACATTCAAAAAATAAAGTTCCCAAAATGATAACCAGAAATGTGCAAAACCAAGAACATTTAAACATTTGAAATACTGAAGGTTTAGAGAAATAACGTTTTCAGAACATTGGCAAAATATTCTTAGAACATTTTTTTTTTTGTTAGCTGCTCATACTGCTCTTTTCTACACTCTTAGAAAAAAGGGTTCTATATATGTAGCATTGGGTTCTTTACTCAACTCCAAAGGACATTTTATGCTAAAAAAGGTTCAATAATGACAAGAAAGAACACTTTTGGCACAAAAAATTCTTTATAGGCTATTATTCATCAAATATTACATTATTCTGCAACATTTTGTAGTTGTAATTAAATTATTGTTTATTAAACTGTTGTAGTACTTAATTTCACATTTTAATCATGCAGATTTTTGGAGGATAAAATCTGAAATGGCACTACATTTTTTAACCCTCATATCTTGAATTTTGTGATCATTCACATACATTACATTTTAAGGGTTCCAAATACGTAGCGCTTTAGAACCTTTTAAGGTTCTATATAGAACCTTTTCTTCTAAGAGTGTATGCTATTTGAGTGAATAATGAAAAGTAGAGTAGCTTGGACATTGTGCTAAATACTCAGGAGGAAAGATGGTCATTAAGGTTTGGAACAGTGAGTCAATTATGCCACAATGTTCATTTGTGGCTGAAGTTTCCCTTTAAACAACCTCTTAGTTCCCAGCTGTACAGCTGATTATTGGAAATACAATGAGCAGGAGCCGAAAGACAAGACATGATTGAAACGGATGAGTGCGATTGCCATGGTAATAGATGAAGAGTGTGAGCAATACATACAAATTCAAAGACTTTCAGCAAGACAATGCAGACAGCCTCTCTTTCTTTAATAGACGCCAGCCACCTGGTTCACACTGCAGTATTTATCTGATTTTGAAATGACTTCAAATCAGCAGAAAAATCTGTTTAGATGAGGCAGAGCGCAAGTGGAAATGTAGGTGATATTGCCTATTTGCACAACCAGATGCCAGAGACAATTTGTCAAAACAACATCTGACTCATGCCTTTAAGCTCTGTTCCAGAACCTAGTGGGCTGCCCTAACTTTTTACAACTTCATAATAATGTCAGCTAACTGTGCAATCGGCTCATTAGGAAAACATGCCTCTACCTGTATTATTCTCAAATATTTGCCAATACATACAATTCCCTGCTATTTCCAGCTGGAATGAACACTATTGGCAATAAAACACCACCAACCTTTATTCCTTTTTTTATTCCTACAGTGTATATTATATTAGTAAAGACTTATTTTACTGTAATTCAGATCTTCTGTAACAAGCGAAATCTACACATCTCAATTCTCCAGCGGCCGCCAGATTTGTTGTAAATGAATTCAACCCAAGCGCTCTTTGGTGATATGGATGATTACGTTACTGTTGATCATCTGCCCATCATCATATAAAGCCCACTCTTGACAATTAACAATTTGATTGGTCCGAACAGCTCTGGTTCCAGACCGAACTTCTCGACATCAAATGTTGTGGGCAGGCCTATAAGTTTGGCTGGCATCCAGACTTTAATATAGCATAGTTGCCTTAGCAAATGCATTTTCATGCAATATATTTGTTAGCATGCTGCTAAATAAGGACTACAACTGCCACAAGGCTGTGAGTTTACATGCTTGGGAAAATAAATACAAGCTTGTTAGCAACAGATATGACAATGTACACAAATGAATGTTGCTTGATGTCACTGAATATGGCAAGGTGAAATATATTTGGTCTTGGCGGACTAGATCTGCCTCGTTGCTGCAGAGAAAGTGGACTTGCTACTGCTAATAGATACACAGACACACTGCTGTGAGCATGTAAGATCTGTTGCTGCTGCTGCATAGACGTGCATAAATCCTGTAGCATATGTAGACAGGTGGAGCTGGGGAGGTGGAGGGTTTCAGAGGATCTCTGATGGCGCTATGCAGGACTAGTTTGCAGCAAATATTGAACCAGACTATTTAAATGTTGAGCAAGCAATCTCATTGGCTGCAGGATCAACAGAGACCAATCAGCTTGTGCCATACAATAATGATGTGATTGCTTGCAGCTTGCATGTAAAGGACCGATCAGCCTGCGCCCTCAAGAGATTCATGACTGAACATGATAAGTGGGAGTTTACAGCATTGACAACAGCATTCTGTAACCAAACTCAGATCCGTACATTTTCAGGACTCACATCTGCATATTCAGTGAAGCCACGCTGTGAACAGAACCAATCTATTGAACACACTGTCCTTCTATCTCTCACTGCCTCGTTTTTATTCCTGTCAAACATTAAATGTGGCTCTACCCTGACTAAGGTCTATTGTAAGCTGCTGTGTGAACAGGAAATTGACACTCAAATTCTCGAATCATTCTCAGAACTGGCCTTAAACTGTCTGTTTTAGAGTAACATTCTCCAAAAATTGTATTTAACTAAGGTTATCAAGGACTTTTAAGTTAGAAAAAACATTTATGTCATTTGAATTTACTGTATTCATACATAAGCACATATTTAAACATCTATGTATTGACTAATGGCTTAGTGACATTGATTCTTGGGGGTGTGGGACCTAATTCTGTAGTAATTCTGTAGCCCAGGGGCCTCTTGTTCTCTCAAGTCAGCCCTGCATGTCTGAACCACACCATTAATAGTAAATATTTCTTACTGTGCATTGTGGGATTGCCTTCGAAGAATACATGTCTTATAATTTCACTAAAACAAAAGTATCTTACCTAAACAAGACAGTCTAGCTTAAAGGGTTAGTTCACCCAAAAATGAAAATTACGTCATTAGTGACTCACCTTCATGTCGTTCATCTTCGGAACACAGTTTAAGATATTTACATTTAGTCCAAGAGCTTTCTGTCCCTTCATTGAAAATGGACTACTTTGATGGACTGTATATCCGTAAATATATTTACAATGAAAAGAGGGACAGAAAGCTCTCGGAGTAAATCTAAAATCTTAAACTGTGTTCCTTACGGGCTTGGAACGACAATGAGGGTGAATCATTAATGACATCATTTTGGGTGAACTAACCCTTTAAGGAATAGCATCTCTAGCTCGCCTACGATCTGCCTCCGTGGGCAGCTCACAAGGTTTTGGAAGAGAGCATTAGTGCTTTTTTCCCAATACTGGGTTTATTGGGTTCATCTACAAAGTACATTCTTTCATGACTGTGTTTATCAGATGAATAAAACAACAGGCAAAAGCAGTTGAATTTTTTTTTACACCAGAATATCTGAATCCCACAAACAGCTCACACATTTTTTGCTCACCATTATATCATCATCCACAACAATGCAGCCAGCGTCAGCCTGTAAAGCTTTTTCATATGCAACACACGCAACCCCAGTGATTGTCGGGAGATCCTCTATTGATTCCCCACCGACATGCATATTACGCAACACGACGGCTATTTATAGAGCACAGACTCCATGACGAATTAACAACACCCGCACATCTCAGGATAATGGATGATGATGCTGCCTGTGCTCTTGGATCATTACTTGAGAAAATGATAATCCAATAAAGCATGTCATCAAATCTCTTTTTTAATCCTCAGATCAGTAAACATGGCCTCTGAGGTCGACACATCTGTTCTTTACAAACCACCTGGCCAAATACAGTCTGGTGGTAAAGTTAAAACGCAATGCAAGGTTGAACTGTGATTGCTGGGATCCAGTGTAATGATATTGCCAGGGCCTTATTGCATGCGTAATATTCATTTACATCTATTAAAGGGCACATATCGTGCAAAATCCACTTTTTTTTAGCCCTTAAATGCATTTTATTGTATATTTGGAGTGTTTATAAGTACAGAAAAGATGAAATTATTCACTTCAGGTGCTTCGTTTATATCTTTATATTCTGTTTTGGTCATATTTTTCAACCTGTTCAGATTTTTCTGTTTTCTATGACGTTTTTTGAACAATTACGTCACAGTATTTGCAGCGGAACTGACAAATAAGGACATTGACTACCGGTCCAACACTTCGAGCAATCCGCCATTATTATTTCTCGCTCCGATTTTGCAGTCCAAGCTCAATGATGCAGAAGTTACGAGAGGGCTAGTCAAAATGTTCGGTTGTTGGATGTAGTGACCTGAAGCACTTCAAGGATCCCCACTTCAACAACCTCCGCCAGTACACAGAAGGGTTTGCCAATTGACTTTGTCTGAATGAGGGGTAAATTCCTCGCACACACATGCACATTCAACCGCTGTTTTCAAACTTATTTGGTTTGATTAACGTGTTAGGCCAATGCTGTCATTTTCTTTGCACGTGAGAGTTCATTAATTTGCGACAATGACAAGTGACAATAGCGGATGCACAATATTCAATATTGTGTTTTTTTTTCAAGAAATCACAGAAAGATGAGCAAAAAAGTGCATGCAAGACATCATTCAAAACCATGAAGGATGTATTTTTATTTGTGGAAACTCACAATAACATTGTGCTTTTGCAAAATAAAGAACAGCAATTCTCTTTATTTTTTTTATACAAGTTTGTGGAGAGCGTCACAAAAATGAATTGGAACTTAGCATATAGGCTACTACTTGTCGCAAACGTTTTTCTTTCGTTTTTTTAATCTGTTGGTCTATATAAGTTAAATATTTATTCATTTTATATATTTTTCAGAAGCGCTGCAGATGCGTAATGTTCTCGTAAAGACGTATGAATCCTCGTTTCACAGGAATAAATTACATTTAAATTGTAACAATATTTCACAATATTACTATTTTTACAGTATTTTTGATCAAATAAATGCAGCCTTGGTGAAAGTAAAACACTTTACAATTCAAGCTTAAAAATATTCCGCTTATTTACGCAAATGTTTAGAATGTTCAGCATTCTAAATGTAACCAACTGTACAATTTGCATACTGAACTTTGATTGGTCTTTTCTTTCTTGCATCTAACTATGCAAGATCATTAGATAAGATGTGCATACGTACTGTAGGCTTACTTGTTGCAGACCAGAGCGACACAGCCGCATTTTCTCAACCAATGGCGGGACTATCGGTTCGACTGACCAACTGCAGATTGGGGAGGTTAGGAAACCTGTATGAAAACAGAAAAGTAACATTTGACCTTAAATGCATTGCAAAGTCATCGTCACATTGTGTTGATTTTCATTAACTGCTGAAAGAAAAAATGATGCGGTATTTGATTTACACAGAAATGCAAATCTAGTTTATTCGTTGCCGTTCTCATCTAATCTAGAGGTGGAATCATTTAAACAGTACGATGCATAATGCATCCGATGTAGAGGTCAAACTAAAATCCAGGCTTTTACAGGCACTTCACTTCCGTCATTTATTAATGGAGTCCGGAAGCTGCTCATGGCTAAATTGATTTTTTCCCTCTCTTATGTTTGTGAAAAGAGAAGCTTCTGAGAAAGTAAGATTACAGATAGAAGAGAGTTGAAAAGAGGGAGGGCATGAGATTAAGGGAGATGATAGAGAAGTAGAAATGTCAGTCTAGGCCTATGGGTGCATTTAAGAGAAATTTAATGGCTATTAATAAAGCTGGTGCTCTTTTTATAAAAATCTTGATTAGAAAAAGCATCTTATAACACATTAAAGTATGTGATGTGCTCAAGAAAGCATTTATATTAAGCCTAATGGAGTATATAATAACAAAATAGCATTTCTTATAAATATAGTTTCTCCTTCTGTATAGTTCTGCTAACTAAAACTATTCAAATTTGTTTTTCTTAAATGAAGCAAAGCTTGAATAAAATATAAAAACTTATATAAAATGCATTTAAGTGTCAATCCACAACCTTCCTGGACTTTTCCTTTGCTATTTATTTATTTTGTGTGTGGAGCATTTGGAAGCGTTTGTATTTTCCCCTGTTCTGTTCCTGTTTTCTGAATGTAGTTTTGTTGTACTTTTATAGTTCTTCTTGTTCCCCTCATTTCTCCCTGATTATTTGCACCTATGTCTAGTTATCCCCTAAGTAAAGTATAAACCCCAATGTTTGCTATGTTATTTGGTCAGATGTTTTTGGTGGATTCTTGTGTTGTTTTTGTCCTCTTGTTTCCTGGCTTCTCATGTTCCCTAGCTGTTTTGTTGTGTTTAATAAGCTGCCTTCCTTACCCTACCTTGTAACAGAACAACTGACCAACCATCATAGCAAACATGGGGCTTAAATACACAGGGGATGACAAGACTAACTAGACACAGATACAAATGATCAGGGAGAAACTAGGGGAACCAAAAGAACTCCAAAACTAGAAACAGGATCAGAACAGGGCAAAATGCAAACTAAATATGAAAGTACACATGGGAGACATGACAATCAGTGTATGGGACAAAAATCCTTCTCTTGTGTCCAGACGTCCCTGAAAAACTCAGTAGATGAGATCTTGCATAATCTCTAAACTGCTCCCGCCAATAAATCCATTAAATCTAGTCCATCATTAAAACTATTGGACTCATTTGTGTCCGTACTGTAATTACTATGTAGGGTAGCGTTTTGGGCTGCTTTTGTTTTTGATCATGGCTGATTGAATGGGAAAATGGTTAAAATGTGTGCCTTGTTAAAAGCCACGGCCCTGGAAATGAGTCTTTGTGCATAAGAAATTCCTCTGCGGCTCCCATTACGTCTGATGGAAGATAATAGTGTAGAGATACTAGACAATGCAGACATACACAGTCGTTTGGCCAAAATAACAATCAGGATAAAGAGGAGAGAATTAGACATGCACAGTCGTCACCTACAGGGCAAGAACCTTGAATGGGAATCACAAAGAATGCCGAGTGTCAGATGAAGAATAGACAGTTGGTCTGGTTTATGCTTTAAAATGTAAATTCAGTGAATCACGGATGATGTTCCCCTAACCACAATACTCTGCATCTGTGCCACAATACAATTGAGGATGCTGGACAACATAATTTGACAAAATTGTCTAGCAGGAAAGCAAATATGCACACACTTTCACAAACCATTGTAGAGGTTTTGCAGTTTGTTTTTTGGTAACTAGGGTCATTGTAAATGATCACCCTCTATTACCTTTGTATTCCCCACTTTCAATGAGGTTGCAGACACGATGTCATACTGCAGAGGTTAATGTGCACCTTCATGGTCTTACAGAAATAGTTAAAGTTTTAAATGCAGTGAGTTAAGCACACATTTGTAATGTTAGTGAAACAAATTAGCTGTATGAAAACAATGACGTGCTCACTTAGAGAATGTCTCTAATTTGCATTTAATATGTAAAATTTCCAACGCAGTCTCATCCCAAAAAGTCATATAACTGACGTTTTGGGACGTCTTTTGACCATACGTCAATATTCGCCTTTTTAGGGCCCCCTTAAACGTCGGTAGATAAGGTTATGGGATCCTAACTCTACCCCAGACCTAAACCTAACCCTAAACCTAACCCATCACCTAACTGACGTTAAAGGTAAAGCGTCAGTTGTATGACGGCCCGGGATCGCCATCTACCAACGTTTAAGGGGGCCCTAAAAAGGCGGATATTGACGTATGGTCAAAATACGTCCCAAGACGTCAGTTATATGACTTTTTGGGATGAGAATGTGTTGAAAATTTCATATTCATATTCATTCAAAGTGCTCGATATAATATTTTGGAATTTTTTTTGACATACATGTGCATTGCTTTTGTTTTTATTAGTGCTATTTTTCACTGCACTTAAATGTGAACAATGACGCACAGTGCATTGAAGTTTAGGACATGAAGATTGTGGGGTAAATAAATGTAAAAGCGTCTGTCAGAAACTCTCTGCGTCTTGCTTGCCGCTACAGATACAATGAAGGGTTTTTCACCACCTCGTCTGGCTTGTCTTTCCGTTGGTGTATTCTAATGTCAGCCGTTGTTTAATCCGCATTAATCAGCGTTTGTTCTCGGAGCGGCCCTGTGCCTCTCTTGCTCCTCTGACGTCACGTGTCCATCGCAGCTGCACAAACAGAAACGCATGAATAACTAAGAACTGTCCGCATGGTCTGCCAAGATGTAAAGCTATTTCTAAAAAAAACAAGAATTTTTAAAGCACTGAAGGTGAGGAGAGGAAAGCAGAAGGACGAGAGATAAAACAAGGAAGTGTTACCATGATACAAAAGCAGAGGCATTACATTAATCAATGGACTTTAGAGATAGATAGATAGATAGATAGATAGATAGATAGATAGATAGATAGATAGATAGATAGATAGATAGATAGATAGATAGATAGATAGATAGATAGATAGATAGATAGATAGATAGATAGATAGATAGATAGATAGATAGATAGATAGATAGATAGATAGATACTGTAAAATGTAACTGATGATCTTACTAATAAAATGTAGTAATTATAACTTATTTGTTTGTTCACCTTATTGAGTTTATCTAAGTAACGACAACTTTTTGGCATGGAAAGTTATTCAACTTAATTGATTCAATTATCCTCTACTTAAAATAATTAGTATTGTGAAATTTTCGATTGGTCATGTGCAGTTCTACATAGGTGGTGTCAATTCACAATGGATTCTGAGGGGAGAAGCACATGGAAAGGTCAGTCGGTGCGTTACATGGTGATGTGATGTTATTTTATTGATGTTGTTGGATTGTGCTGATCGAAATTAGCAGTCTAGCATTTGCAAGTCACTGATATTTGGCTGCATGTATTCAATAAAGAAAAGTTTTTAATGTTTTTATTGTATATACAATTTAGACTGATGATTTGACAGATTGCTCTACTGATTTATATTTGGATGTTTAGATGTGTTGAACAGGGATGTTATATAGATTATTTCATTTTATTTAGATGTTTGAACACTACACATACGTAAATTAAAAATATATAAATCTTTATGGTAAGAATTTAGTAGATTAATATTATTTTCTTAATTTGCAGGATTTGTTTTATGGAATGAGACAATGCAAATGTAAATACCGTTATTGTGTTTTTTTGTGGCCTTCGCACTAACTGTTTGCATTAAAGATGAATTTAACAAGAAATCATTCCCAAACCATACAATTATCCCTTTTAAACATTAACCAAAACCCCAATATTTCACTTTTTTTCACAGATCAATGCAGAGTTAAAGGGGTACTCCAGATAGATAGATAGATAGATAGATAGATAGATAGATAGATAGATAGATAGATAGATAGATAGATAGATAGATAGATAGATAGATAGATAGATAGATAGATAGATAGATAGATGGATAGATGGATAGATAGATAGATAGATGGATAGATAGATTTTAGAAAACTTGGGAAAGGTTGCAGGTTGTCCAGTTTTGAAGCTTTAATGGTGCTTTTATGTTCTGTTTTTTAACATGAAACCCTGTTCAGTCATTCTATGGAAGAGATCAGCTGCACTGCAATGTCTTTAAAGATCATTTCTGCTTTGTGGGTTGCAGTGGACGGAGAGGAACAGATGACCAATCCACCACAGGACATCAAAACCACATATTTACCTCCCAGAGAGGGTCAGTGTCACCTCTCATTTACCCCTGGTCACTATATAAGGAGCTTAAACTTCCTGTTTCACATTTTGCGAAATTCAACTCTTATCAAAATATGTCACAATTGCACACTTGACAGTTTACTATTGTCTTTTTAGAGCTGATTTACAACAAAATTGAAGTCTATAACAACAATCTGTGTTATATAAAGCGCTATATAAATAAAGGTGACTTGACACACAACACACACTTGAGAAACACACACCAACCTGACGCTCTGTGTCTGTCAAGACACAACAAAAACAGACTATATGCGTGTTGATCCAGCACCTGCACCCCTTACATAAACACGGCGCTCAAAAATAAGCAGTGTCTGTTTAACTTCAGCCCAGCATTTATAGAAAGCACCAGCAGCCACTTCCTGCTGAGAGAAATGCTTGGTGTCCTAATAATAACCGCAGCACAGGGCTAACGCACAGCGTTTTTGTTAGACTAGAGGGAGAGGTGCCCGGCTAACACACCCACGGCCAATAGAGTCTGTTTTGCATCTATTCATTCCGCCGGGCTGAGACTCTACTGAAGAGCCCAGCCTGTGTACACTCACAACACGAGCAGCAATAAAAGAAGCGGACATA